TCTGTGAAGAAATTGCTAGCTCTGGTTTTGTCCTGTGGGCTCTGCCAGACATACACCTCTTAGGAAGGGTTTGTTTGGTATAGTAAAGTCTTGTGAAGTCTCACTGGTTTTTCAAATGTTCCTTTGTTCCAGATGAAGATGAGTGTGCTGTGCGAAATCCTTGTTCCCATACCTGTCATAACGCCGTGGGATCTTACTACTGCTCCTGTCCGAAAGGCCTCACCATCTCTGCGGACGGTAGAACGTGTCAGGGTAAGAGAAGCGTTGCTGGGGACAGGCTGGATACAAAATGTCCCATGGCACCTTAATCACTAGGGAAATGTTCTGGCTGGGCTGAGCCATTTTCTCATTAAAAGAATATAATTTATCAGTTTATCAGCTATTTATATAATTCCAGTTATTTAATATCAGAATATAATTGCAGTGAAGTATTTCACAGTTGATCATGCTCAAGACAGTACTTAATCTGTTTCATTTGGACACGGTGAGGTTTACAGCTTGTTTTTAATTCTAGATATCGATGAGTGTGCATTAGGTGGCCATACGTGCCATGCTGGCCAAGACTGTGAGAACATCATTGGCTCGTACCGCTGCGTGGTCAGATGCGGGAATGGCTTTAGGAGGACAGCTGATGGATTTAGCTGCCAAGGTATGGAGAGGTCTTTGGATTTTGGTGCTAGCTTTCATAAATGGAAAATGCTGCCTGTCACACAACTGAAAGGAACTTTTTAAAAGACGCATCCCCACCTAAGGTGTCTATACATTTTCATTATTAAGGTTGTGGTTTTGGAGGGTTTGGTTTTTTGTGTGTGGGTTTTTGTTTTTTTTTTTAAGGAAACCTTTTGCTTTTTCCATCTTTAGAAATAAATTGCAAGTCCTGTCAGAGAATAACCTCTCATTCTTGCTTTTGTGTCCCGTGTGCACTTTCTTTTACAAAGAAGTGAGAGAAGTAAACGCTTCTGAGCACACCTCAATAGTATGTAATCACTAGAGCTCAAGGCAGAGTCCAGAATGTTGACTCAACCAAAACACTGTTCAGGTAAATGACAAGAAGGCAATTCCCAGCTCTGGTATCAAGGATTTGTGTTGTTCAACAGATGTTAATGAGTGTCAAGAGTCCAACTCCTGTCATCAGCGCTGCTTCAATACTATAGGAAGTTTCCACTGTGGTTGTGATCCGGGATTCCAGCTAAAGGGCAGAAAATGCATGGGTATGAATGAATTCTTGAATATTCCTTCCCTCCTTCCGAAAGACACAGTTCAATATTTATTTGTTCCGATGTTTGTTATCGGAAGCCTTTATGAATGAAAATCCTGCTATGGACGATACACTTAGTAGGTATTTCTGAATCTGTTTGTAAAGTAGTACTAAAGCCCGGGGAAGTGGGAATTGGGCTGACAGATAACCGTGCATGAAATGCCTTCACATGCATGTAGCCAGTATAATTACAGCTGGGTTATCTGCTCTTTAGGAATTGAGCATAAGGAAGAGAGTTCATTTCCATTCTTGCTTTTTTTTTTTTTTAATAAGATGTAAATGAGTGCAGACAGAATGTATGCAGGCCTGATCAGCTTTGCAAAAACACTCGTGGCGGTTATAAGTGCATTGATCTGTGTCCCAGTGGAATGACCAAAGCAGAAAATGGAACTTGTATTGGTGAGTAGAAGTGTTAATGTACTGTATGATGATGGTAAGCACAGGAACAATGATGAATTACAAAAAAAACCTGAGAGATACTCCATCTCCTGTTATTAAGATTTGCACATACTAAGGCACCAACTTTTCTTCACTTCTGGGAACATACATATTTAACTTTTTTGTAATTGGTATTAAAAGACTAGATGTATCCTTGCTACTTCTAGTTTTCTGTTGCTCTTAAGAACAGTAAGGTTTTCCTCAGCATCTTTTCTGCGTTGTCACCTTGAATTTTAGAAACTGTTCATTGACTGAAGTGTTTTGCCCTGTGTGTGAATGCTTTCTTAAGAGTTTGTCTCAGGAGCTCTGAATCACGATCACTGGTCTTTTCTGTTTATCAGGGATGCTTTTAAACATAACCGATGCTATTTATACTACCACATCTTTTTTCTAGTGGGATATGACAGGCAGATGGGTTATGATTCTTTGGAGAGTAGCTGCTCAAATTGGAAACCTCAATGAAAAGTTTTGAAAAATAATGGAAAAAGTATGTGTAAATGCAATACGGTTGAAAATTTTATCTGTGTCCGCTCAAAATCTGCTTTCAGATTGTGATTTATAACACAAACCGTTACAGAGTAATACCTAATCATGGCACCAGGTAAGAAAAATATATGTTCAGAGGCCAAATCTATCTAGAGGGCCACATTCTCTTGTGGCTTAAGTGCGTTCCTTCTACATTAAGAAGTTAAATGCTGTAAGAAGTTTCAAGAAAAATCTGCCTACTTGCCCTTGCCTTGTTGCTTGCAGACATTGATGAATGCCGGGATGGAACCCACCAGTGCCGCTACAACCAGATTTGTGAGAACACACGGGGAAGTTACCGTTGTATGTGTCCAAGAGGGTATCGGTCCCAGGGAGTTGGAAGACCTTGTGTGGGTAAGCTGTCTCATCACATTGGTATCACAGATTTTCTGCTGCTGCTTTTGGCTGGGCTTTCTGCTGTAACATATCCAACAACGCCATCCCATTGGAAGACTATGCTATAGAGGCACATTTGCTCTGAAGTTTCAAATTACCCATCAAAAAGTATCCCATTCAAAACAGTCAAACATGAATGATTCCAAATGGAAATTGTTACAGATCCCTACTTGGAAAACAGAGCATAGAAGGGTCTCGGAGCACTGGGGGATGGATGCGGCAAGCTAGCGCTGCACAAGAGGCTTTGTTTATAAAAATCAGGTCAGATTGGTTTGTTGATTAGACAGTGAAGTGTGCCTGGCTGTACACTGGATGCATCGATCACACTGGAAGGCAGTCAAGCAGGGAGTGATGTGGATTCCCCTAAAGGAGAACACCCAAAGGAAGAGTGTTACAGCAAGAGGCACCATACACCCAGAACTCACCTCTGCGAGCAACCAGCACAAACACACCCGCCCGCTAGAATGGTGAAGGGTAGAGTGGAGGAAGCTGATATGCACGTATCACTCAGCGCTCTGCTCCCCTTTCTTGTTTGGGTGGGTCACAGGAATGCTGACCATGTAGTTACTCCCCTGTGCTATCACCGCAGAACCTTCTGGCGTTAAACTGTGCAGACCTTTCTCCTACGCGTGCATGCATAGCACACGAAGGGTGCTCTCATAGTTCTAACGTGGATAGCTAGTTTAATGGATGGTGTCAGTGCAAGTGTGTAAAACACCTTCCCTGGCATTTCACAGACCTCAGGATGGCACTGGGATGATTTATAGTCACCCTTTCTGTATTTATGTAGAATACCTCAAATATAATAGCTGATCCACCCTGATAATAGTGTCATATACCAAAATTCATCAATCATTAAGGGAACTTGGTTTCAGTTGCTCTCATGTATCATATCAGAAAAGCATTCCTTCATGATGACTTCTTCAAGATTAGCTTTCATAAGTGATAAATAGCTGCTTTGGAGAAGAGGATTTTTTTTTTTTTTTTCTTTTTAAACAACCTAAGACTTTGGACTACCAAAAGCCAGGATTTTTTATTTTTTTTAAGAGATTAAATTGCAGTAGGAAATTGTTTGGCTGTAGACCAAGACATTACTTTCACCAGCCACCTCTCCACTGAAATAAAAGCAATCTCAGACTCCCTAACATATATGAAAACCATTTACATTTCTGACAGTAATGAGCTAGATAGAGCCTAGGACTACAGATTTTCACAAAACACCAGCAGCTGCCCTAAAGCTGTCTTCCGACCAAGGTGCAGTGAAAGCTCCCTCTTAAATTAAAATATAACATTTATGCACCTTGGAATTTTTTATCTGCTTAAAAATATATTTAAAATATAGATATATCAAAGCTATTAGTTCAAATGTGTTAATAAAATCCAGGCTTTGTTGTTAATGTTTCCAGTGAGCCCAGGAAAAAGTTGAAAAGTAGGGCCCCAGACTGAAACAGAAGAATTGAACTTTGTTCCTACCTCTGCCACCCTTACTTTTTGTCAAGTCCCTTGTGCCACAATTTCCTGTCTGTTAGAGGGGGACGGGATGCTCACTTGTCATCACAACACCCATAGACATACGTATGCTCATTTAACTAAACTACAGTCTTTCTGTGAAGTGTGGTGGATCTCAACATGCCATTATCAAAAGCTGTTATAATGCATTTTTGCATATAACATGTGCAAGGCTATCTAGAATTTAAAATAAAATATTATTCTTCATGTTCAAGAATGCATGAGAATGTAGCTATTTTAGTTTCAAAGTCATTTCACCTTGTTCTTGTAAATATTTAATTTGCGTAATCAAAGGGATACTGGCCCGGGGAGACTGAGGCTTAGCAGCCCGTCAGGGCTCACTTCTCTCGGGGATGGCTGTGCTGGAAATGCAGGAGCCTTGCTGCTTTCAGTTTCCCTTGCTTCTTTCCTTGAATTGTCACCTGTTTTCTTTCATTATTTCTGTGATTGTCTTGTATTGCTAATACACAACTTGTTCCAAGGATACTGGTTGTTGTAAAGATGCTAGTGCACATACCCACTGTCTGTGTTACGCAGGTGAAGAATGTTACACTCAGCAATTAGAAAATAGGTGAGCGCTGAGGAAATAACGAGTTTCACTATTCTTTTACATGTACACAAGTAACATGTTTTTTCATCTTATGCACACAATGAAGGAGCATAAACTTAAAGTTTATATTATTTGTTGTCATATTACCAATGAAGTTCATAACACCTGACTATATTACCCTAATGATATTTCAACTTGTATATAAAGTTTCCATTACCTGTTTGTGAAGTAACAATGGGAAAATATTGCAATACTCTGCAGTAATTATCCCTGGATTTCCAAGTCTCAAAACATGTAATTATTAATACCCCTCATAATTCTTTAAAACATAAAAAGTATTAAACACTTAATAAAAATGCAGTAATATTAAATAATGAAACCCCTACTGTGTCACCATTAAGATAATTTTAAATTCTAGTAAAAAAAAGGTTTATCATATAGGTCAATTATATAAGTATGTTGTTATGTATGTTAATAGCAGGTTATTTACTTCTCGTCACTGCAGAGTTGCACATTCCTGTTTGGAATTAGCACATTTTTGTCTTTTTATAGTAAAGAGCATATGCAAGTTTGAAAAGGAATACTGTATGTGTCAAATTTTCAGCTGAAAGAACTTAAAGAAAATTTAGAAAATTTCTTTCTGGTAGTGCCAGAGAGACTGGGAGAAGGCTTGGTCCTACAGTATCCAAGAGCGCTCGCTTTATGTTGCGTGAAGGACACTCATCATCTTATATCCTTAAACTCTTTACCATACTCTGTATGCTCACTACTCCGTTTTGATTTAAGGAAGGATATTTACTGCTAGGGTTGGTCAAATTAATTTGGATTACAATTTAGAGGGAAATAACTTAAAAAACCCAAACACATTCCTTATTATATATTATTTTCTAATTGTACAAAAGTGAATTAATATTTACTGTAAAGTCTCCAACCTTTTGTAGCTGGAATGACCAATAACAATATGAAATGTTAGAACATACCTGACCTCCTTCCCTCCAGCCCTGTGACACGTCCTCGAGACCTGATTTTTCCTCTGACACAGAGTACAATAACCATATCGGAGCTTTTGAGCTTCCCTCAGTGCCAGATGGAATTAATTTTTAACACTGTACTTCTCAAGAATGCTCTTCCTTTAAAGAAGGGCCTGTCAGCTTCTCCCACCCATCTGGGGAGCACTTAAGAAAAAAAAGTATCAGCTGAAGTAGTAGTGAGCAGCTTTGGCTGAAAGGCTGCACAGCGTGGGTCCTCGGCGCCGCTTGCTTCTGAGCGCATCCTTCCTGGCAACCAGCAGGAACCACAGCTGGCAGCTTTCAGGCTGTCACACAGCCCTGCTTTTGCAGGTCATTTTATAGCCACACCTTACCTGCAGGAACTCTCAAGGCAAGACTTCCAGCAGAGTTCTTGTCCTGTGTGAGCACAGTCATGTCACAAGCAGCCCTGCAGGAAGAATAAAGGGACATTACTGTCCAGGGTAGAATAACCTGCCCCTTGGCATTGCGTTCTCTGTATTTTACTGCCTTCAAGATCTCACTTTTATGTCTTCAGTTTGTTCCACAGACTGAGATAAGTATATATGTACATATATACGTGTAGTTACGTGTTGTTGTTTGTTTGTTTTTTCTCCTTTCCACATGGTTTGTTGCTCTGGATCATGTCACATGAGCAGACATTAATGAATGTGACCAAGTGCCTAAGCCCTGTGCATTTCAATGCACCAACACCCCCGGCAGCTTCAAGTGTGTCTGTCCACCTGGACAACATTTATTAGGTGATGGGAAATCTTGCGCTGGATTGGAGCGATTGCCAAATTATGGCGCCTATTACAATAGCTATAACTATGCTCAGTTCTCCCCTGGGAGAGACAACTATCATCAACCTCAACAGTATTACAGGCACTCCTCAAATCTCTACAGCTCCTTCTCGGAGTATAGAAACAGCAGAATACCTTTCTCCAGGACTAGAAGGAACGTTAGAGAAACTTGTCCTGAAGGCTATGAGGCAAGAAATGGCAGATGTGTAGGTAAATGTCAGTTGTATCTATGCAATTCTCTTGTTTTGGTCCTTATTTGGAGGTTACTGTTTCATATATCCCAGGGGCTGATGGTTTGTGGTACTGTGGTTTTTTTTCCATATTGCCCTGATAAATATTCAGAGTTCTGCATGTTCTCATCTCCTGAGCACATTTATAACAAAAATGTTTTCAAACTTTCTCCTTGTAACTTCTTGTTTTAATTGTGCTGCTTATTGTGTGTTTGCAAATTATTTCCCTCTGTTATTGTCTTCCCTCTGATGATGGTAGCTCACCCTTGTGAATGTTCTCAAACTTGAAAAAAACACCAGGAGAGCCATCCTGGGGATGTTGTTTACGGCAGATTCCCACTGATGGCAGTAATAACATGGTTCAGAAAGGGGTTGAATAAAGATTTCAGGATGGAGCACACCAAGGCCAACGCCAGCACCGCTACAGGATGGCTGGTCACGGCTGTAGACCAACCGCAGAAGCTTTTAGATTGCCTGTAGTTATGATGTAGAGTGGCTTGTAATGTAACTCCCTGAGTGTGGAGAGACCGATTGTATGCAAACAAATGGGAGTTTGTCATAAGTTATGACAATGACAGCCCTGCCCTTTCTTTTTCCATGATGAGGAGAGCAAGGTAGTTACAGTAACTGGCAAGCTCTGCCCCAGTTGCTTGGGGTTTTTTGTTTGGTTGGTTGTTTTGTTTTAAGAGGTGCAAAGCCTCAGAGCACACTGTAAGACCAACAGAAACCAAACGTATTTGGCACCTCTATCAAGCATTTAGTTCATTTCCTCTTTACTCCGTGAGCTTTTCTGAGGTTTCTCAGTGAAATTCTGCTGTTTTCACAAGTACTGAAAATCTAATGCAGCTCCTTGTCAAAAGGAACAGCAGTCTGTACCGCTCATTGACCCACTTGTACTAAATGTGAAAAAACAGAGACGCTAAAAAATCCAACCCAACACACTGTTGCTCCAAAGCTGGAAAGGTCAGGTTTTTCTCCTGCGGCAGTAGTTAGTGTCCATGGATCCAGACCCTCTGTAACCGCTGGTCTAGAGCCAGAAAACAGGTGCTCCAGCCCAGCCTCCCCCAGCACGTCACCCCCTGCCCTGGAAACCTGAACAGACCTGGGCAGGAGAGGGGCCAGCGCTGCACAGAGACCCCGGGCTCGCCTTGTGCTGGAGGAGGGATCGCCAGGCCCGACGCTCTACACAAAGGACAGATGGGGATCATAAACATGAGTTCATCTTTTGATGAATCTTAAGCCAGATTTTGCCAACTTAACATCTTTGAGCATCTTAAGAAAAAAAAAATAAATACACAGTTATTTTGTGGTAATAGTGCTGAGCTAGGAGTAAGGGTACCTTACACCCCATGCAGGTCTTACTGGAGCTTGTCTGGGTGCATTTACCAGAGCAGCGTGCAGTGCTGTAGCTGTGTGCCTCCGCCTGGCATATGTGCCCCTGCCCCTTCCTAGGAGGCACCTCCAGGATAAATACAGTGAGCTACAGCTGGAGTCTAGCAACTAGAATGATTGCTAGAATATATAGCTATATAGAGTAGATAATGGTGAAAAATACAGATAGGCTGTTATTAATAAAAAGTAGAGATATTAAAAAATATAAAGTTCTAGACAGGCAGCCATCAAACCTTATATTTACATTTTAAAGACATTTCAGTAGCCCTATATATGCAGTTTGCTATGGGTATAGCCCTTTAACGGAGACACCTAGGAACAGAGCCAACACTGATGAAAGCGTTAAACTAAAATCTAGGATCTTCACCCCGGCTTCCAGTTTGACTTGGTACTTCTGTTTCATTGGAATAAATTTAATAATAAAATAATTATAATAATTAATAATAC